AAATAATTATCTTTTATTCATTTATTGTGTTCTTAAAATAAAATAAAATTTATGTGTCTGATCTTTAAATGACTTTTATTCAAAAAAAAATTGTTATGTAAGATATTTCAAATATTATGTTTCCGAGTAGGAAATTGCAAGATCTAACAAAATCAAGAAAAAAAAATTGGGGTTACTATTTAAAAAAATTGTCAATGACGTCACTGCCCAAAAATGGGAAGTGGGGGAAAATTATATTTTATTTAAAAAAATTGCACAATTTTAACAGTAATTAATTTTAGCCGTGCTTTCAGAGCCAACATGTGGCAACTACGATATCCAATCAACAATTATTAAAAGGTATCCGTATGCTCTCTGGCTTTTTGTCTAACATTTGGTTCGGCTAATATCCCACCACTATATTTTCTAATTCTAGTCGAAGACTAGCTGTTGCCCTGTTGCCATTGTATTTACTTGTATACTAGTGGAATGCCTAACACGAAAAAAATAAGTACTATATATTAAAAGACCCATTTTAAGTCATTTATAAATATCAAGCTCTGTAACTGATAATAATGTTCGTTATAGGTTTTAATAAAAAAATTGTTTAATATCGGTACAGCATTATTCTTGTTAAAATCTATAATTAAAATACTGTTTTAAGAAATGCGACGTTTTTAAAACGGTCCAATTTGCAACTTCAAAAACTAGTCATAGGATGAATGAAGTGTGCCCATGGACGCTTTTGTTCAGAAGGTCGAAAGTACGTACTACTATATTTCAATAATACTGAAATTTTAACCTCAACAAGAAAAGTGCGAGATCCTTTTTAGTTCACATTTTTATAGAATTTACAAATATTGTTAGATATTTGGCAAAATTGTAAATCTTTTTTACACAATTGGATTTGATAATAAAATGACTACTGAATCTTCAAAATACAGTTATGAGCAAGTAGGCATTGCAGAATTTTAATATTTGGTGTTATATTTTATTAAATATACAGTTCTTATTATTTTATATTAGGCATAGCCGTGCTTTCACAGTGAACATGTGGCAACTACGATATCCCCGCTGTCGCTATACTCTAGTTTTGTCACTGATAATTCGGTTCGGCTAATATCCCCCCACCATATCTTCTTATTCTAGTCGACGACTGGCTGTTGCCCTGTTGCCATTTTATTAACTTATATACTGGTCGTATGCCTAACAGAAAAAAATAAGTACTGTATTTGTCACAATCCCTTTAATATAAAAACATGGGTTGAAGTCGTCCCCATGGACCTCGAAACAATTGAAGACAAGTGTATGAAGGATCTATGTAACAAAAACATACTTTAAAGATATTTGAGTTTAAAGTATCTTATTTGGATAGGTGTAACATTTAATTTGAAAGAATATCATAACAGAAAATTGTTAAAATGAATTTTAGATTATTTATACAAAAACCACCAATTTAAAAAAATGCACATCGGCCCTTTATCCACTCATGTTTTCAGTTACGTTCTACGATAATCAGACAACGAAATCCAAACACTGGACATGCCCCTCTTCACAAAGCACCAAATAATCGATACCTGAAACAACAGTCAGATAAACCCCAAAAAAATGATGTAATGAATACTGAGTTTCGTATTTTTCTAGGATTTTTAAATATTTTGGCTGAGATAACTCAAAGTTACATTCAACTAAGGTCGGTTTTAGCTTACGTTTGACATAGTTAACTCAAAATCGATTTTTTTGAGGTTACCTCACTATTGCTTTTAGCTTTCGATATTAAAAATATACAATTATTTTGGTAATATATATTTTTTATAATCAAAACTAACACAAATTTTGTAATACAGATACAACGAGCAAATTGCATTGAGCCAATTTTTATAGATTAGTACTCCTGAAGTGCCCACATTATTATTTCGGTATATATATATATATATATATATATATATAATATATATATATATATTTTTTTTTTCATTGAAGATTTTGAAATTTTTACAAATAGCATCTAATAACAAAATTTTAAATTAATCTATGTTATAAATATTATTTAGAGTTGTCTTTTTGATTATACCAAATTTATCTCAAATGTTGATAAAAAAATTTATATGCGATCTAGATGGACTATGATTGACTATCGAATAAAGACTTTTAGCGGTGTTTTGGGTTGTTAATTTTACAATGGATTTAAACTCTATTCACAAAAGTTCCCACTTCACTTTTGAAATTATATGAAACTCATTTTTGACACTGGGCATTTGTTAGTGATACTTAATTATCTGGTGTTGCCTCAAAATGTTACTGATTTGTCATCCATGTATTATTAAATACCGATTTTTTAGAGAACTCCTATTATTTCATAGCTAATTCTAAATTATACAATATTGAATTGTACCTACTGTTATATGAGAATAGTCATTCATTATACGTAAAATAAAATTGGTTGTTAAAGGAGTCTTATTCAAACCCTTTTTCTTTAAACTTGTTTAGAGAATCTACTTTACTTTTTAAAATATCTTCAAAATCAGAAGCTATATAATTCGCAAGATATTCACAGTTTATATCAAATTTCATTATTAGTGATAAACATTTGTGGCTCTTCAATGTTGTACATACAAATTATTTTTCCTATCTGACAGAATTTATTCGGCCAGATAAAAAGGCAACAGAGCTTTCTATGCTTCTCGCTTCCCGTGTTCATTGACATCTCGCAACTCCTGTTGCAGTAACATAACTGACACAGTGTTGCCAATTATATCCCTTTAAATTATAACTGCATACCAGACAGGAAAAATACTGTATATTTCACAAAAAATATTGTATTACTTCATTACAAATAATGTTTTATTCGTACCGGTTTGTTTCCTTAAAATCTCTGTGGACTTGAAACAATAAGATTGTAAATAAAATTAACACATAAGTACCTACAATGAAGAAAAATATTTATGTTACAATTTTTGTTTCCCAATTTCTTTAAAATATTCTAAATCTATTAAATAGAATTCCAAATAAAACCAATTCTAATTACAGCACTGTTGGAATGTTATAATAACATTTTTGAATTGAGTTTGCAGTTTAATTATGTAAATGTAAATATTTTTCTGTTCGGTTTTAATTTATACAAGCAAAGCCAAATTGTAAATCATTAAAAAACGTCTAGTTGTAGAAATATGTCTTATTATAAATTTTGGCTAGTGACTATTTATTATTAAAGTTTGATATTAAATTTCAAAGTCAATCAAATAAGGATCAATATAAGGAAATACACTAAAATGGAAGAATTTGAAATTTTGAATCGTTTGTATATCTTCAATTAAATTGACAATTTTTTTTTCTACTGTACCTAGGAATCTCATGTTAGTCGTGCACGAGAAAAGCACAAAATCTCTATCTTAGCGACTAATACACGCCTACTCTTGCAGTCTTCTTCTTAAAGCATTCAATATGTCATTAATTCTGTCATTTAGGCAAAAGCTTTTCCAATAAGTGATAAATATGCGCCGTAAATATTAAAATTTCTACCTTAAACAACTACTGTCAGATTATTTTCCTCTTTAACACAATGTTTTAAAAGTTTTGGTCAACTTTTAATTTTTTCACTGCCCTGGACTCTCAATTGTTTGCCATTTACAATAAAACTGTGACACAATTAAACATGTATTTATCGCAAAAAAAACTGATCTCGTGTAGTTAGCCCTGAAAGAATATGATTGTCCCTTGTTTTTACATAGTTGGGCGTGTCGTGCCGTATTAGGCACTTCAAACAAATGAATTACCAGTGGTAAGGTTTGTATATCTAAGGGTTGCGATCTTCTATACGTAAAATCATTATTAATGGATTACATTTAAATATTGTGTCAAACAATAAAAATATTATTTAAAAAAAACGCTACCCCCTTAAATATACGACAACTTCCCACAGGCACCTATTGTTTGACGGGTCGTTGGAATACCTAATTTTTAATGTCAATTATTTCTATTGACAGTTATCAGGTATAATTTAGGGGACGATTTGGTTCAGTTTCCGAGATTCTCATTCAAGAACTAATTATTGTGTTCATAAAACGATTTCACATATGAGAAAAAAAATTGTCTTGTTGAATATAATTAAACCTACTTTTCGCAGCTATAAAAAATCCAGCCATTGACATTTTTAGGTATGTTTTCTTTCGCAAAGCTAATATACAAATTTTTCATTTATTCTTGTTTTGTAGAAGATGGAAATTCCTTGCTGCAGGCTCACCAGCAGTGGAACTCTCGACGAAGACGTAGAAACAGCTAATGTTCATATATTTGATTAGATAATTAACTTTACATAAGACTTCATAGCTCAGGTTGTTAGGCCTCAAGTTTGGATTTCGCGACCCGAGTTCAATTTCCGGTAAAAGCATTTTTTTATTCTTAAAAACTATGAAAATTTAAAAAAATACGTACGATATTGTTTACTGTTTTCCGTTATTTATTTTGTTCTATTCTGATAGAGGTCCAGAAAATTACAGTAGGTATGTATCTTTTAATAATAATTTAAAAAAATCTTGTTTGCAGTTCATTTTTTGTGCCTAATATTATTTTAGCTTTATCATCATATGAAAATGTCTGTAAATGAAATCACAATGTTTTAAATTTCGACAAAACACCACTGGTAAAACACTTTAAAAATTCTTCAAAATCAATATAAGGCATATAAAAAACAAACCTAGAACCAGCCACTTCTTGATTGAAACTCCATAACCAAATTTCCTGCCTTAACTTTTTTCTTATGAAATAATTTTGTGGTCCTAGGAAAAATATTGTACATGACATGTGTACAAGTGATATTTCTCACTCGATAAACAACTGTGAACAAGAACTTTTTTGTTATTAAAGATGATACAATTTTTTTTCTAAACCTTTATCAAAATAGTATAAAATAAAATAGCGGAAAATTAACGGATTGCCTAACTGTACGCTTTAGATTATAATATTTTTTTAATTTTTTCATATTTTTTGCAAAATAAAAAACATTACTTTTATCGGTAAGTAATTGAAACCGGATCGCGAAATCCAAAGTTGAGTGCTTTACAACCTGAGCTATGAAGTCTTATGTAAAGTTAATTATCTTATCAAATATATGACATTAGCATTTTCTACAACGGTTTTTTAAGACGTCTTCGTCAGACGCTCAATCGCTGGTGCGTCAGCAGCAAAGTATTTCCATCTTCTACAAGACAAGAATGAACAAAAAAATATGAATAGGCCTTGCACAAATTTGTACCAACAAAGTGCCACTAGCTCCCTACCATCAGATTTTACATTCAATTATAAAATGCCTGAAGGTAAATCATTTAATTTGAAATTTTAAGCAAATACCAGCACTGGCTTTGGAAAAATAGGTGTTGTTATATATTAGTATATTAGTGATGGCGTAATTTGTTTCACAGTGATGATAGAGATAAAAAAGAAAATAAATAGAAATTATAGGTGTTCATTATAGAGAGATATTGCAAATTTAAACATTAAAATAATTTGGTTATATAACTTGTAAACTACTTTTTTACGACCTACTAACAATACCTAAAAAAAAATAAAATGTATATGTCAAATAGTTTGTTTTTGTTAAAAGTTTACTGTCAGTGGCTCAAAAATTACGTCATACTAATATAGCGTGTATAACTAGTGAAAACGGGATTTTAATTTAACAAAAATATATTTTAACATGAGAACTAAATATGACAATATAACTCGGTGAGGTAAATTTTAAATTTCAAATTCTTAGGTCGATGACTAAGGTTTTTTATTTACTTAACGAAAGCAGATTATTTTAAAATTTCAAGTATATTACACGCTTTTGTAAGTAGTAGAAAAGTTAGGTACTTACCCTTATTGTTTAGTGTAAAAATTCTTTCTTATTTTGTCACAAACATATTTTGACAACAGTTGTACATATCTTCAAATTGTTTTATTATACATCTTTTTATTTATTGTTTAGTTTTAAAGTTAGATTTGTGAAAAAAATTATATACCCCACATTTCATACTAAATAGGTAAACATTATCCAAGAAGTTTTTGGAAATTATTGGATAGATTTTTAAAGTATTTCATTTGCCTGAAAATAATTGATCTGAACCATAATTTGCTTAGTTTTCAAAATTAGAAACGAGAATAGATAAATAGTAAAAACTATATTATTCTTGATTCAACGATTTGGTTTTAACCAAAAAATAATTTTATTTCTAAAAAATTTATATATATATATTAAAATATTTTGAAAATTACAGATTTTATAATTGTAACTTACATTTCCGTTTCTTTAAATTAGCTACAGAATATCAAGAATTGATATCTTAGGATGTGGAATGAAAGATTTACAAAAAATCTTAGGTTTTTATTTTTTCGCAAAAAGCTTCGGACAGTAAATTAACCCTCAGTGAAAATATTTTTAATGTCATTCATTTATTCAAATTTAAAAAAATATATAATAAATGTTACTTATCATCAATAATTTGCTGATATAGGTCAAGTTTTATTTAAAAATGCGCTTTAAAATGTACTTTTCAAATTGATAAAAATTCAATGGCCTTCATCAACCCTCAAGTACACAATTGATTAAATGTTTTTTTATTATATATTATACGTACTTGCATTGTTATAAATTCAACAAATTACAATATTTATCCAAACAAACTTTGATCAGATTAAATATTTTATATTTTATCATTGTGTAAAAATACTAGACAATGTACGAATTAAAATGGAAACAACTTCATATGATTAATTTCCAAAATGTTCGTAGAGTAACAAAGGATTAATAATATACCTTAAGGTGCCGGAAGATATTTTTAAATTAGAAAGGGTGTAGAATTAGAAAGTTTAAGGTATCAGAATATTATTTTATTATAAATAATTTTTTACATTTGTGTAAAGTCCCGTTTACCAAAATATAGTTAATAACAGAGATTTACTATATTTCAAAATGTTCTAGATTTTCTCTTTAAAATTAAAACTTAAAAGGTATATTATTCTTAATAAAATTTCATTTTGCTAATAAATATAAAAATACGATCTGTGCACATTAGTAATAATGTTAATAATACATTTATTTAAAAGATTAATATAATCATTTGCAGATTTAAATAAAAAGATTGAGGTTAACGTAATTATAAAAAAATATATAGTGATTTGAAAGTTTTGTATCAGTACAAGCTTCGAATTTAGAAATATTTTTCTTAAAAATCTATCCATTTTTATACAAACAATACCCTACATTTCACATTGTGATAATACAATTTTTATAATTTTACACAAAAATAACTTACACTTCTTGATCTATCAATAATTTATGTAATATAGAAATATGATTAAATAAAACCATTTACGTTACATTATGGGCATTTTTTTATTAATTAAAAATCAAATCCCTGTAGTTTGATAGTAAGTAGTAATTGGAGATTCTGCAGTTTGTTAGTGTCCTTACAACCGTCATTCTATCGGCTCTTTCAAAATTTGCTTTTACTACTTCGTAGTAACGGCCATCACTAAAATAAACAACATGTATATTATTGTCATGATTTATATTTTCATTACGATATAGATTATTTTCATTATACAATGATTAAATAATTAACAAATAAAAGTATCTTATGTCAACGGGACCAGTCTTATATTTCTTTTTCTACGTTCATGCATAAAAAAAAAACTTTATTGAACTATATTTATGTGCACCAGTGCAATAAACATTTTATTGCACTCATCTGTCATTTTACTACATCGTTTTATGATCATGACAAACATAAATATTCAAATCGACGCGCCAAATATTTAGTCCATTTTCATTTTCTGTGAGATTGTATTACTTTTTAAAAAATATTAATATTGATAATAGTACGTACATTTACTTTTAATATTAGTGGCAAAAACAACGTTTAAGCTTAATTATTGTTCATAACACAGTTGTTTCTAAAGTTTCGGTTAATTTTTCTTAACATAGTTATAGTACTTTTTCAATGTTAATCGATGCTAATTATTAGTTATTAACTATTTTGCTATTAAATTACGCTTTTTATTCTTCTGTACTTAGTGTCGCCTAAATAAAACATTTTTTGGTTTTTGCATGAACGTAGAAAAACTATTGTATGCAACTCGTGCAAAAAGTGTTTATTTGCACTCGACGTGCATAAATAACTATTTGTAGATTGTCAGTACCTAATGACAAAAGTAAAATATTTTATATAAAATGTGATTGTTATATTGAACTGTTCGTAGATGAAACTCTCAGGTAATGCCTATTAATACACTAACGCAGCCATACTTAACCTTTTTTTCCTTCGGGCCACATACGTATGTTTGCTATGTTACACGGGCCGCTATATTTTTGGATGATTACCCTTTATTTAGGCCATCCATTTAACATTAGTTAGTGGGAACCTCTAATAAATAAAACAAAACATAAATATATCCCGTTGGGTTACTGGAAAAACAAGATAACTCACATTTTTGAAGTTTCGACAAAACGCTGTTCAAAAGTTTAAAATTGAATAAAAAATCAGTAAAAGCTTCAAACTGTTTCATAAATAATAACTCCAATGAAAAACAGGTATTCAAAACATAATTAGTCTTCACAAGGTATAAACTAAGAATCTATATAGGAGATTGGTAATGAAAAAAAACAAAAAAACGTCACTTATTAATTTTAGCTGTCTACATACAACTCATAATATTTAATGTATGTCACTATCATCAATGGCAGATTCAGGTACCGTAATCTTTTCTGATTTGCAAAGTTTTAAGTAAATCTTTCTTCTTACTAATGTATTTTCAAAGCTTTTTTTCCCTTTCAGGCATCTCCTCTGCCGGTACGACTTGGGTTTAATTTATTATTATTTCCTTTATTTAGCTAGTTTGCTAATATCACAATATACAAATTTAGTAAAAATATACATAGACATATAAGTCAAAACATAGATAATTTAGATACAATTAAAACCACATTAAAACTAACTAAAATTTTATAGGTTGTTACTGTTTCTGGAGAAATATGCATCAATTAAGAAATCTGTCACTTTGACTTTAAATGTAGTTACAGACGTTACTGATTTAATTTTTTTATATATTGATTTAAACCTTTAAAAAATAGTGAATTTTGTGTTGCACTCTTAACAAGTGTTTCAATATAAAAGTTATTTCTGTTCCGCTTTGGATAATTGTGCACATTAGAGTGATAATTAAGCTTCTCTTTTAGGTACATTGGAAGTAACCCGTGTTTGATTTTATAAATAAAAATTAACGCATTCCGTAATAAGAGACTTTTAATTGGCATCCACCTCAAAGTTTCAAGCATTAAAATAATGGAAGTATATTTTGAACAGGATAATATTATTCGCATAGTTATTCGGGTCGGTGGTGTAGCGGTCTAACGCGCTTATATTCATTTATAGACAAGTTTATGTGTCAGAGACTGCTGGGCTTCGAATCCCAGACCATGTGGATTTTTAATTAAATTGCATGGTTCGGTATAGGATTTGGGTGCCGTATTAATAGAAATTCAGTTTCTGTTGATATGACATGCAGATTATAAAAATCGCCATGCATTATTGTCTCGATGATGGTGGGTGAGGTTTTCCGGGTTTTCCTCACCTGTAAGTCAAATGGCACCATCAATCATCTTTAAGTCGCCTTGGAGCGCCACGGCAAATAATAATAATAATAATAGCCGTCGCTTTCCCCGCACAAGCTCAGCTTTTGGGAATAAAATTCACTCGTAAGGGGGTAAATTAGGGAGAGTATTATTATTATAGTCCTATTCTGCAGCTTCTGTAGTCGGATCAATTCATTTTGATTTAGTAAAAAGAGCAATAATTAAAGTGAGGTAGAATTAGTATTATATATAATACATTTAGTCCACTGTGATAAGCCAAATAAACCTTTAAATAGGAAATTTAACTTAAATTCAATAGTTTTGATAACAGTGTCGGCATGATCTATGAATCTCATCTGCTTGTCAATCATTACCCCTAAGTACTTGAATTTTTCTACTAACTGTATAGAATTTCCTCCAATTGTTATGTTGTATTGTTTATCAACAAACTGTGTATAGTTATATTTGCTACTTATCAACATACATTCTGTTTTATTTGTGTTAATTTTCAACAAATTATTGCAACACCATTTATAAACATGTTGCAGTGTTTCATTAACAACCCTTACCAAGTTATCTAAATCCTTACAAGAAAAATATATTAGGGCATCATCAGCAAACAGGTGAATGTCACATTGACCCTTGAAATCAACAATGTCATTGATATACACTAAAAACAACAGGGGACCCATTATACTGATACACCTCTGATATAATTAATTTCCTCTGTCAAAATGTTATTTACTTTCAAATTTTGTTTTCTCTTACTTAGATAATCCACACACCACTCCAATGTTTGCTCTACTATACCCATACTTTCAAGCAATGCAAAAAGCTGGTGTTTTGAAGTTGTTTCGGTGATATAAGATGTGCTTCTGGTCGTTTTACCGCGCATCAGCATCCCCGCTCGTTACAGCTTGACCAATCAATCATTCACTACGGTGATTCGGTCATCACGAGTTATCATCTATTAGTTTTTTAAGGTTGGCTGTATCGTGAAAAAAAAGGGTGACGTAATCACCTTGTCGATTTCGGACCAATCAAGAAGGGTCAGAGACGGCTCTAGACAAAACAAAAAGCTTGAGCAAAATGTTGAGAACAAATAAATTCAACAAAATAAGTTTTCTAGCCTTTATTTCGTTTTGGCAGAAACACTATTAGCAAGTTAAACGTCTCTTATCTGGTTTTGGTAGACACATTATTGGTAACAGAACACAATCTTATGATTATATTTCGGTATAAATGCCACTCATCTTGTTTATGCATTTTGTGATTGTATTAATATGAAGTTAGTTTTTATTGACCATCCGCGTTTATCATGAATATAAACTTCGTTCACACTCAACTTATTTGAACTATTTAGGAGACAAAAGTGTACTTAACTCAAAAATGCCGAAAGTGGAGTTATCTTGTTTTTGCAGTAAGCCCATGGCAAATGTTTATTTAAAAAATTAGCGTGATATTTAGCGTAGCGACCGATAAATGTTTTTGCGCATTTCGCTCAATATTTTATAAACAAACCAATAGTTTTAAGAAGCACCTTATTCGTAATAATAAAGTTTTGGGCCGCAAAAAAGAGCTTGGAGGGCCGCATGCGGCCCGCAGGCCCCAAGTTGAGTATGGCTGCACTAACGTGAAGCATGATAAACTGGCTCGTTTCGTATCTTATTGCTTTATGTTCGTGTATTAATGACCGTGTTCACCATCACCAAACAGTTTCATTTGATTATGAATCATACGTTTCTATGAATCGTGTAAACAGTTGCGATGACGGTGAACGAACATTGTTGAAATTTAAAATCATTTGACATATCGTTATAGAGTTTGTACTTTAAATAAATCTAGGATCATTTATTATTCCAAACATTTTGAGTCGGGTATTGAAATTATTTTACGGTAAAATATGTTACGATATATTTATTTTACTTTGACTTGCACAAATAACACTGTCACAGAACCCTTACTTTAGTTCCCATTTGGCGTCTCTGACAAAACTAAACTCTGAACGAACATTACAAATTACAAAACATCTGTCAAATGTAAAATTTTGTTGGTTTTTAAACTGTTTCAAAAAAGCTGTTTCGAGTTTGCACCGTCACCGATTCGTAATCATACCAAACCGTTTGATGACGGTGAACGAGACCATTATTAGTTACAAGTTTAATCCAGAAATAATAAACAGTAATGGAATGTCAGGAATTTTTAAAATGCATAATAATTAGGCATTCCAACGACCTGTCCAAATGGCTACCAGTGGGGGCTGACCACTGATCTGTATTATATACAGATCACTGGGGCTGACAGTTTAGATATGGCAACCCTGCTGTCATGTTGTCATTAACAGGGTCAGTGATACATATATATGCCGCGTTTGAGAATCCACATCGGATGCATCTGAGATGAAGTAAATCTTTGATCACGTGATTCAGTATACGTAAATGTAATGGGACAGATATGTCAGATGTGGATAAAAAAACGCTCGAGATGTAAAAAATGCATCCGATGAGGATTCTCAAACGCAGCAGTAGTTAAATAGATTGCTCAAAGCTGGCCGTTTGCGAGCGGCCATATTGCCTGGCAAATATTTATTAATTTGAATCGGTTTAGCAAAAATGTGTTTTAAAACCAATTTTCATCCTTTAGATATTTAAAAAACATAATTGCTTACATTTTTACTTCAAGGCATAAGCTTGTTTATTTTTAAAAATATGGATGATCAATCTATGTAACTAACTATTTCATTGACCTTGTCAAATCACCAGGCCTACAGGGTTGCCATATCATAACCTGTCAAAACCCACTGGGGCTCGATTCTCGAGTTCATTGGAAAATTTTCCCATGGGAAAAGATTCCACTACTTATATTCCCATGGTAATAGGTTATGCAATTCTCGAACTTGTCGGAATAGACATTCCCATGGAAATAATAGTTTCACGTATGTCTGATATTAAGTTCACGAATATTTCGAAATAACCAATAACATTAAAGATATTTTAAAATTTACTGTTGGTATTATTTGTATTTGTTGTGGTTTTTGGGTAACCGATTACCTGCCGAGCCTCTGCGCTGGAGCAGATGCCGTGCCGAGCAATCACTAGCATGACCGAGGACAATATTCGATTATGTATAATTAAAACTTATCGAGTTATTTTTAGTTTTTCTTTTCACATATTGAAAAAATAAAAAGTAGCTTTTGTATAGAAGAGCAACGAAAGTTTCGAGAAACTAAGAAATTCTTTCGTTAACGGAAATAATAAAATTTTCGAAAAGGTCTTATTAAATTTACTACAAATTTCTCAATTTGTGTTACCTATTTGCCAGTCCCTTAGCAGCTCCCGCAATTTCTAACTAGTTTAAGAAAATCAGTTTCTTAGTGAAAGAGAAGCAACAATAATATACCCACATAAATAAAATAATATCAATTTATAAATACACCAAAAAAATGTTTTAACTCTAATTTTACCAAAAATCCAAGATATCCAATAATCTTTGGTTATGTCTTAGTCTTTCGCGTGGTCTTTCGTCAAATTTTCGACTTTAATGCGCAAACTCTAGTACAATTCCCATTGGAAAACACAATTTCCAATGCTCGTAAGCAGGGGAATATTTTCCCATACTTCTCATTGGAAAATATTCCACCGCTTATGCCGAGAATACGAAAACTGAATTCCCATGGGAAAATTTTATTTTCCCATGGGAATAAAAGTCGAGAATCGACCCCCTGGTAGCCATTCAGTTTGGAATGCATAATTGTTGGTTCAATGACAAATGACAGCATTTTTCACATATTCCGTTAGTGCTAATATTTCTCGATTTAACCATTACAAGATCGTTAAATAATATACTATTTCTCATGGCTTACAATATGGAGATTTCAGTGTAGGTATTTAACATTAAACTTGATACCCATGAAGATAAAACAGGTATGTAAGATGATTATGATAATTGCGACCACCTTCCTGACGTACCAAAGTATGCCAGCCTAACGGCTTTTAGCAATACCATGATGGATATTGTGTATATAAATTGAAATCAGTATTATCTACTTATGTAAAATGTGGAAAGCACCAATAGCCTAGCGAATCAGGTAACTGAGAAGATAGAGTAAATAGCATTAGGTAATAAATACATTTGTAGCAAAAACGAAGAAGACACAATGCAAACTAATTCTAAAATCTAATGTGTCCAACATTTGAAGAATTTTCTTTTCCAAGCGTAAATAACAGTTATATTGGCTCAGCTTTCGTTTAGTCGAAATCTCTTATGCAAAAACTGTTGTCCTAATAACAATTGTGATGGCTATGAGTAAACAAAAACCCTAATCTTATGGTGAGGAAATGCGTAGTTGCCAAGTTGTAGATGATTACGGTTTTTGTTTAATTTCATTTAACCGAAATAAGTTATGCAAAAAATGTTGCCATGGGCACGCTTATCTTGTTACCAACTAAACAAAAACCCAAATCTCGTGGTGGGGAAATGCGTAGTTGCCAAGTTATAGATCATTTAATGTTCACTTTAGTTAAGCCGAAATCAGTTATGAAGAAACTGTTGCCATGGAAACACTTATTATGCTAACGACTATACAAAAACCCAAATCTCGTGGTAAGGAAATGCGTAGTTGCCAAGTAGTGGTTAGTAGGTGGGTGGAACGAGCGTAGCGTGATCTTATAATGTAAGTGGAAAAAGAGCACGCCTGGCCGACGTTTCGAAATTCGCGCACGCAAATTTCGAAACGTCGGCCAAGCGCGCTCGCTTTCCTCTGTAGTAGATAAAAGGTGGGTGGGAGGAGCGTAGCGTGATCTTACGATGTAGGTGGAAAAAGCGTGCGCCCGGCCGACGTTTCGAAATTCGCGCGCGCGAATTTCGAAAAGTCGGTTAGGCGCGCTCGCTTCGCTCGCTTTCCTCTGTAGTAGTTAAGAGGTGGGTGGGAGGAGCGTAGCGTGATCTTATAGAGAAACTGTTTGCCATGGAAATGTTTGTCATGCTAATGACTAAACAAATCCCGTAGTGAGAAAATGCCTAGTTACCAAGTTATAGATGGTTTCATTTTCACTTTAGTTTAGATTAGGATATTGTGTTAAGAGTTAATCTTAATATAAGGGACAACTACGCATTTCCTCACCACTATATTTAGGTTTTTGTTTAGTCGACATCACGACATCTCCATAACCGATTTCAGCTAGACTAAAGTGAACATTAAATGACCTGTAACTTGCCAACTATGCATTTTCTTACCACAGGATTTGGGTTTTTGTCTCTATGGCAAAAGTTTCTCCATAACTGATTACAGCTAAATTAAATCATCTGTAACTTGACAACCACGCATTTCCTAACCATGGGATTTGGCTTTTTGTTTAGTCGTTACTATGTCAAGCGTTCCCTTGGCAACAGTTTTGCCATAACTGATTTCGTCTAAACTAAAGTGAACATTAAATAATCTATAACTTGGCAACTATGCATTTCCTCACCACGAGATTTGGGTTTTTGTTTACTGGTTACCACGGAAATGGTTTCCATGGCAACAATTTTTACGTAACTGATTTCGGCTAAACGAAAGTTGACCCAAAATGTTTCTGAAACAGTCATTTTATTTCTATATCCAGAGACAACCCTATATTCTAAATTAATTGGAAGGTGGCGTTTGTTGTATTAGAATCAGAATATGTCTTTAGACATTGAGGTAACGTTTCTACAGAAATACGAAGCTTATTTTAGGTACCTATAATTTGTTTCGGGTTAGTGCATTTAAAGGAATTGGTGGAAATGAAGCGATTTGCCTCTATATTTTATGAAATAATGTTTATAAATTATTTATTTGTTTGTTTAAGAATCAATGTATCTGTTTTGTGTATTTCAAATAAACATGTATATTTTTAAATGTCTTTTTTTAGTATAATAAAAATATTACAGTCTAATATCGCATTGATTTTGCATTGATATTTCAGGAATATTTTAGAAACGTTTCATAATATTTATGAAATATTACTATGTAATATTTCTAAAAGATGTCAATTATTTTTTTCAGAAATATTACTGTGAAATATTAAATTTACTTACAGGACATTTTCACATTTCAGGCACATTTCAGAAATATTTCTGAGACGTTTCGTAATATTTATACATAACAAATATTTCAATGTAAGATTTTTGAAATATTTCCGAAATGTTTTTGTGCTGTATGGGTTATTTCTATTTAATATGTTTAGTACTAGTCATTACACTTTTTAATACGCATAGCCGGAGGAAGGGCCTGGCGACAAATGAATTGACTGATACGCGACAAAAGTGACAAAAAAAACTTTAGGAGCTAAACTAAACTGTGCGTCCAACAGTATTAGGCCAACAAAAAAAAATTCGGTTAAGGAACTGAAATAAAAAATAAATAAAAAAGAAAGTCGTCACCCATAGCATTGGGTCAGAAGAGATATGGTCACCTAAATTATAGGGGCGCCAGTCAAGGTGCTTGCCCGATCTAAATATGTTTCTTCCGCAGGCACTGTTAATAAATATGTTTGGTGTATAGTTGTTTCAGCACCCTAAGTAAATGTTGACGTTTTATCTCTTCTATCGTACGCCACAGAACCAGCGCTCACTGTTGAGTATTGGTGCGCAAAATATATTCATTACACAATTACCGCAGGTAGAATAAATGCAATTTATCTTTGTTCCCAAGAAGGAGTTTTTGTTTTGACAGTGCGAAGTGGTATGTCTCTTTGCAACTAACTGATATTTTACTTTTTTAAACAACTTACCTTAAACACAAACAGCGCAACTTCAAACATTTCACTCTTATGGTGTCAATGGCTTTTTGACTTTTATCAGAGAATCTCAAATTATCTGGATCCCACCTCAACTCTAGCCTTTCCAAATTAAGACAATTTCTAGAAATGCTATCCATAAGTTGGTCTACTAAAATGTTTATTCCCAATCGTTCTTGCGTCCCCATCACCAATATCCTAAGAGAGTAGATAATTGGTTAGTTTTGGATCAAATGTTTATATCAGTATGGTAGAGTCCAATTACAATAAGAATAGAGCTACGTCATCAATTGGTGAAGTAACTCGTTGGCTATCGCCGCCTACTGGGAGTTTAGTGGCGTGTTAATATTATAGGAATATAGAAATAATATTTTTAAACCAAACAACTCACATATTCTTTATTTATTGACAGTTATACATGATATAAGTATATTGAAATTCGAAATAATAGTTATGACGTAGCGGTGTTCTTCTTATTGTAATCGGATTCTATACCAGCAGTGAAAATTATAGGACTGCCTATATCAAATATATTCTGCCTGCTATTAATGAGGCATTCTAAAGCACGTGACTTTTTGATAAATAAAATGGTTGCCTTATGAAGATGACGCACAAACCCCAATTTTACATTAACACTAACGATAAAACTATTAATATAATTACACACTAGACCGTGTTTTTTGTTCAAAATTCTACCCTCAAAGCACAAAGTGTTGTTTAAACTAGTTTCTAATGTACAAAAACAACTTGAACAGATTAGTAAACAAACGATGGAATTCCTTCTCTTTAAACAATGTTAAATGTTTGTACTATTAGATACCTATACCTACACAGAGCCCCCTAAACCACCATTGTGCTATAAATTATTTGAAACTTTTATTTAAATAGGATATGGGAGCCCGGGGTACATTCGAACACGAGGCACATACGGACATTTTAAATTTACTGCCTAAAAAAGTTTCCTGTTTTTTGGCTAACAGGTAAATAATTTTCACTTTACTTTGTAAGGTTTTATATATTTTATCGCTGATATTTGTTGAAATCTATTTGGTACATCGTCAACTAGTATAAAATATTATTAATGTGCCCCGGTATAATTGAACTTGACTTTTTTAAATGTATTTTCTAACAGGATGTATTTCTGTTTCGTCTAGAATGGTTCGCACTTACAAAAAGTATACTGAAAGAGCCAATATTTCAGAAGATTCCATACGAGCTTCAATATCTGATATAGTACACAATATTAAAAAGTCGACAATCCAAGATCGTTTAAAAATATTTCGTAAAAAACGAACTAGGGATTCTGAAAATGATAGTGGAGAGGAAGATCAAGTAAATATACAGCAAGGAGTGTATTCAACTCTCAAAAAGAAAATGAAGTAGAAGATTATTTAATTCAGATTTCCAATCGGCATTTTGTGTTGACCTACAAGAATACTCGTATTTTAGCGCACGAATACGCAGTCAAAGAAATATCTATCGTCCTGGGATAAAAAAAATGGCCGGTGAAGATAGGATTGCTGGTTTTATGAGAAGACATCTTGAACAATCACAACGAAAGCTGGAATATAGCACCCGGGCAGGAGCTAGCGCTTTTAATCTAACTAACGTTATACAGAGTGGCCCAAAAGTCTGGAAACGGCCAATTATCTCGTAAATTGCTAGTCCAAATTGTACAAAATTTGGGGTACACCTATTTTGGGATACGGTGATTCCAGATTTTATATTTGCAATGTTACCAGATTTGCTGTTTCTCCTAAATTATTAGTCACTTTAGTTTTTCAAATTCATCACCCTGTATATTTAGTCATTATTGGAATCTCCTATTTAATACGCGTTCAACCATATGTAACACTTATGATTTTATGTAGTCTGGAAGGTCTTAAATAAATGAAATAAGTCTGGCAACGCTTAATTGTCTCAATAAATTTTTTAATACAAACTATTCTCAACTACATTAAAACGTAACAATTGAAAGAATATAACATTTTTAACATAATGGTTACTTTATCCCGTGTTCAAAATGTGCTCCATTTGTGAGTTGACAGTACCCTAATCGATGGTACTTAGAACGCGTTTACCACATTTCTCCATGATTATTTTATTTATTTAAGACCATGATTTTATGTAGTCATATAAAATCATTGTTACATATGGTTGAACTCGTATTGAATAGGAGATTCCAATAATGACTGAATATACAGGGTGAGGAATTTGAAAAACCAAAATGACTAATATAAGAGAAACGGCAAATCTGGCAACATTGAAAATATCAAATCTGGAATCTCCGTATCCCAAAATAGGTGTACCCCAAATTTTGTACAATTACGATTAGCAATATACGAGATAATTGGCCGTTTCTAGACTTTTGGGCCACTCCGTATAATTTTTTCTACACCCACATGGATATTAGCTTATCTACGCACAGATTACAAAACGAAAAAGTATGCTATTGCTATTGCCTTCAACTGAACGATTATATTTCATATCCATTCTAGGTAGTGAGAACACTGCAAAAAAATGAAATCCACCCATCACAGTTCATATTTTGATCAACCGACTGCTATTATTTTTAAAATTTTAATTAAGTGACAATTCTATCAAACTAATTGTCAGTATATTTTTTTGTTATTGAGATTAAACATACATTAAAATGAGTTGTTCTTGTGTAGAATCGATAAATAATAGAATTTATATTTTTATTTCGTCTATAATTATAAATAAAATTTGTTAATTTTTAATAAAACTATATGGAGTCAATTTAAGTACGAGTATTAAAGCAACAAAAAAAAGAATAGGTGGTCCTGTTGTTGCCGTTCTTGCCTTCCACGCGGAAGATTGGAGTTCGATTCTCGGATGGGGAAAAATGAAATGAACTTTTTTTTTCATTTATTTTATTTTAAAAATTATTAAAAGTCATAAATTATTTTAAAATTAGTTATTTTGTCTTAATAACCTAAAATATTTTTTTATTTGTAAATTTTCGTTAGTGGGCCGTAGAAAAAATATACTGTACAACTCGAGTGGATTGTCCTCATCGCACTCAGACGATTGAATACTCCGTCTACGGCGTCGTGCTTAAATTTCGCCTTCGTGCGATATGGCCATCATATCATCTCTTGTTGCACAAACTACTATTTTGACAATTATAGAAAAGTAATGGAAAAATACAGGTAACGAAACGGAAATAACTGTTTTACAAGCCCCAAAAGTAATTGTACAAAGTGAAAATAAACAGGTTGGACAGGTCTCTTCGGGAATTTCGTTGCCTCCTGTTTATATCTTTCCACGGTACGATTGAAGAATGCAGATTTTTATATGGTTCTCCTCCAGGCTCCGTGTGTTTTGGATCAAAGACTGGGTGGATGACTGCTGAGACTTTTGTAAAGGTGTTGGAACATATTAAGAAACATAAAGACTGTAGTATTGATAGCCCAATATTACTCATAGTAGATAATTATGAGATTCATATTAGCCTTGCCGTTATTTGGTATTGTAGAAAAAACGGCATTAAACTACTTTCGTTCTCACCTTGTTGTACTTACCAGATGCAACCCTTAGATATAGAAATATATGGACGTATAAAACAAGGTGCAAGTCATCGTTCAACGACTTTTTGAGTTCCAAACCTGGGACAAAAATTTGTTAATTTTGAGGGAATTAATAGTGTCTAAAATTTCTTTCTCATTTGTATCGGGTAAAAAAAAAACGAAAATACTTATACCTAATGAATCGAAAATGAGACGCTGAGCTTAAATAGATTTTAAGCACATCTCCTTGAAATTGTTAACTTTTAAAAATGACTTAGATCCAATACTAGTTGATTTGTTTTAAAGCATGATTGAAACTACTGAAATGTAATGTTAATTCAATGAAATCTGAATAAAATTGATGTACCAAAAAGGCATAGGTATCTAATACCGAGTTACGCATGGGCATCACTTTATATTGCTTGGTGTCGTAACTTATTGTTTTTTAATAAACCTTCATATTTAATTTAGATACTTACTGAGCGTTTGTTAAAATTGGTAAAACTGTTTGCCAAAGAGAATCAGTAATGTGAGTCATCCCTGATAAGCCCAAACCCAACAGTTGATGGCCGTGTTTACACAAAAATTTGTAGATTGCTTCTTCTGTTAAATTGTCAGAACTATCCAGATCTAAAGCTACCTATAAACGAATAAAAAAAAATTCAAAAGGCATCCAATTTGCTTTAGGAAAACCAGGGGCGTCTTCGTATCGAGAATATGGTATCTCATAATTAGAAGAGATCTAACACGTTATGTACTGATCCCAAAATTCTTCGATCATGGTATTACTAGAGGCAGCATATGGCCATTGTTTTGGTTATGGGGAAGCAATTATTGATGGTATTCTAGTTGTTAGTTAAATTATAGCAGAATTCAGTAAGTCAGGTCGATTCACTCCAATCGTTCCGTTACTAACTTAACAGCATAAAGTTATTTAATATGGGAATGTACTGAATGTTTCTCAAGATCACTGCACAAGTAAGTGATCATAGGCGTATGTAACAATTGGCATTCACATCGGGAGATCATTTTTTAAATAATAATTTGTTAAAAATAGCAAATATTTTGACAGTATAAAATGCTTTTATTTAATTTATATAGATTTTTTTTTCTGATTCTGATACATGCCCTTTAAAAATTAACATATGATGCCAGTTACTTCAGCCTTTGTACCACTAAATAATACTCTACTATATTTTTTAAGTTTTGTAGTGATACAACTGTATGCATAGTAGTTTATTATATAAGGCGTTAAAAAGAGTAGGTAGTAGTATATATATGGTAAATTTATGAGCTATCTTTTTAACGCCCTGTATAAGACTGACCCTAATCCCAATAAGTCAGAAACTGTTACGAAAAATATCAACCCTTTGAAAAAAATCTATAAACCAATCGTGCAATTTTTGACACCAAAATATAACATATATTAAAACCTACGCCAATTTCGCCGGGCCATTTTTTCTCTCCAACCTTTTATTGTTTAAATGTGATGCATACTCTTGACTTATTTTCCAAACTGGATGCTTGTACCAAAGTAAGATAAACATGATAGCTTTTCACTGAATTAATGTGCAATAGGAATATTGGTGCAGTTTTAGTGTCCAACGAAAATAAAGAAGTAAAAAAATAAATAATTGTTTTATACTGTAACGTTTAATTTATTTGTTTATTTATTTAAAACAGTTTATTTATAATTTATTTATAACGTACTAATTAATTTATATAATACTTAGGCACTAATATAACTCACAATTCTAATTTAATTATTACAATTTATCTTTTCTGTCCAACACTTAAATTGAATCTTCCTGTCCGTCGACAAACTTGCGCTATTTATATAAAGCTATGTACCAGAACACTCTAGGCGACCCAGAAGGATCGAGAAATGCATTTCTATGGCTCATGCTCCGCAAATCGATCACTCCGGGAGCTTCTCGAAGCGGGGTGTTCGTCTCTATATGGCCATCACTAGACTTCATACCGCGGACAAGGAGTAAACAAAGCACAGGGTGGGCTTTGCGCGACAATATAAACGCAATAACTTGATAAAGTATTTTTGACCAGGTTTTGAGGTCACTGAGAATGAATAAGCTTACAGAATTTGAAAATCGTTACTAGCCATTTGTAAGGTCCAAATTGTATTGTTATATATCCATAAAAAACTATGTTAATGTATTTTCATTGAAAAATTTCATAAAAGAATTTAACCAATATTGCAATAAAAGGTAGCCAAATTTAGCATTTATGAATTAGAACATTGAATATTACATAATGATGAAAATTTAAAAATCGGTAAATATTATAAATTCGTTTTCAGCGACCTTAAAAATCCCTAATTGATTATTTACATTCATTTTGGCAAAAACTATGTCAAGTTATTGCGTTTTTATATTTAAACCATTCATATTTTCGTTGGACACGAGAAACGGCAATAATTTAGTGAAAATGTATCTTTTTGTCTTGCTTTGGTACAAGCGTCCACTTTTTGAAAATAAATCACGCGCATGCCCACTTACGCACAACTTTAAAACGTTGGAGAGAAAAATGGCGCAGTGAAACTGGTGGAGGAAGTGAATTTTATGAAAAACAACAAAAACTTGAAAATAAACCAAAAACCAGACATAATAAAGTAAGTCACGCGCATGCCCACTTACGCACCACTTTAAAACGTTGGAGATAAAAATGGCCCACCGAAATTGATGGTTTAATAGTTCTTGTAAGTGCATAACGAAAATGTTATGAAAATAAGTCAAGTTTTTGAGAGACACGTACCACTTGTAATGCCTATAGCTATCATAGCGCCCCAGTCTGAACGTCTGAATAATAAATTCAATCATAAGAAAATAAGTCTCAAATTTGCAAGTTAGCTGTAGTACTAACACTACACAAATGTATTCTAAAAACTATAAATCATTTACTAAACAAAACAAAAGTTTATTTTATTCACAGCTAAAAACAAAACAAAAACTTCTCTGGAAAACACTATTTATAACACAACACAAATAAATAAACTAAATAATCAGAAGATTCGGAAGTACAGAAGCATCATAATTATGATAAGATGCTTTTCCAGATTTGAGAGCGAAGACAACTCTGGCAGGCCTCCATGTTTGTAGAACATATCCGAGGGCTATATGTTAGCTCGGAATAGTTAACAAGTGGTCCCTCCAGTACTTCCTGGACCTTTTGTAGAAGTGCCTGAGATTATCCCATCAGATAGCTGTCTTGTATGGTTGAAAGGAATTTATCACCCATACAAGTTTTGTTTTGTTTAATATTGTGTTTGCAATAGACCAGACAATAGACTCATGTTTTCTTGGTTAAGGATAATCTCATTTTGACGAGATATTATCACGTCATTTTAACGTCACCTGTGACGTTAAATTAACGTCCTCAAATGACGTTAAATTAACGTCCTCAAATAACATAAAAAGTGTTATTTCCTGGGCGAATATTCGAAGCAAATAATTAAATCTAAGCTACTAAAAAGACGTTGGATAGTAGTATAGTTAATTTTATAAAAGTTCAGAAGAGTTTGTTGGCTGCGGTTAAAGAAAAATCTCTGTATTTCTGTACATTCAGAAGTGATTCATTCGTGGTGCACCACCTTGCTTAAGGATTAAATGGGTTTAAAAAAATTTAAATCATCTTCAAAAAACAATTCGAAGTTAATTTGCTCAATTAGGTCCTTGGCTAAGTCAATCATAAATAGTTAAAACAAAAAAGGTCCTAAGTTTGCCCTTTGTGGATCTAAAACCGCTGTACATAACAATTTGATGGCGATTATCTAAATAATAAAATAAGTAGACAAGATTATTTCTAAAGTCATATAGTAGTCTAATGTGTAGAAAAGCCAGTTATGATCAATTCTGTCTACAGGATATTAAACCTTTAACTAGTGGAAAAATTTGTCTATACCTACATACATATTTCAAAAACCTTTGCAAAACTGCAGATAATCAATATAGCCCGATAATTTTCAATCACTGAAGCGCTTCCATTCTTTAATATAAAACAGACTTTCGAACGCTTCCAATTAGTAAGAAATAAAGAATATGTCAGAATTAGGGCTGGGCGATTATTTATAATATGTAAATGGGAAAAGACAAAATAGTTCAGTATCATTTTCTCTTCTGTTTGTGAATTGATTTTCTTTTTCTAATTTTTGTTTAGTAGATAGCTATTGACGAGCTTGGAAATAATATTTTTTTCCCAACCTTTGATATATGAAATCCATTGATCCACAATATGAAATATGACATGTTTCGAACCAACATGGATAATATTACATGGACGGATAGAGGAACCGGAAAAACGAAAACAAAATTACTTCTCCCCCACTTCTCCAATTCTGCTACGCCTTGATGGTAAGGGATAGAAAAAAACCAATAGCGGGGCCGTAAGTCACGTCTGAATCGATTTCATACAGCCCAATTCGCCCCCCTCCATCCCAGGGGAGATCGATATATAGAACCGGTAGGCATAGGATGCGATGGATTGTATTGGATTGGCAAAAAAAATTTCAGTCCCTCTCACCCCCTACTCTAATCGATTAGTCGATTATTTTGCTCACCCTTAGTCAGAATTAGCCTAAACAATTTATATAGTGGATTAACAAAGATATTTGCACACTCTCTTACAAAGAAACTAGGTAGCAAGTCTGAACCAGAGGTAAATTTATTTGGCAATTGTTTTTTAGCTGTGAATATTTCTTGTTCCGATATCTTACTGACATTAACGCAGGGATGATTCGATTAATTTAAGTAAGAATATTGACGTAATAAGCATTTTTTATTCAGTATTTTGAACTATATTCGCGAAAAATTTAACTATTTTGAAATTTTATTCTCGAAAACTCGGGGTGAGTGGGGTAGAACTACTAAATAAAAAACATTTTGAGAGCAAATAAACCACTTTTCGACATTTGGTTCTGATTTTACACATATTTTAAAAACAGATAACTTTAGCCAGGTTGCATTTTTTTGATTGGTATTTTACGCTGTCGCCAACACAAAAAAAGCTTGTAGTATCATCTTAGATTCAGAAAAAAAACGCGTTTAAGCTATATCTCTAATATCTAATTGCTAAAACTTGACAGTCCTAATGTGAAACTTCAGATATCCTTCGATCTTGTAGCAACAGCAACATAATTTGTTTGTTTTGACAGTCTATATTATATGAACGATTTTTTAGCAAAGTTAGTGTTTTATGGGACCAAATTCGTGAGCGGCCACCCTTTCAACATATAACCGAAGACAAATCATTGGTTTTACTAATAGCTGTATCGAAGTTTAAAAAATCTATGATTAAAAACGTACCAAATTTCGCGAATTGCCTGACTCCATATATGCCTTCAGAACCGAATCATTAAATCCATTCAATTGACCAGCACTTAAAAATTTTAGTCCTGGTATTTTTGAAAGCATATCTTGTAAACATTCTGTTGACAAATCGGTAGCGGTTATGTCTAATTCTTGCACAGAGCATTTTTCCCATTCTACTTGCATCAAATGTTCACTTTGTAAATCTAAAAATCAAAAGCAAAGAAGTTGAAAATGCGAGTGGACACTTTTTTACAGGAATAGTATTCAAGCCCGACTAGAGGGGGGGCAGCCGGGACTAATTCCCGGGGCCCGGGCTCAAATGGGGGCCCGGCAGCGCTATAAGGGGGGCCCGACAATAGGGTTTTCTGTTTGTTCATGAGAAATTCGACATAAGAAGAGAAAGGGGAGGTGATGAAAGTACAGGAAAAGTTTTAGGAAAATTTATTTTCGAGGTGACGACCTTTTTTTTTTGTTTTTTTTTTTTTGTTTTTTTTTTTTGTTTTTTTTTTTTTTTTTTAGAAAACGAAAAGTTGTTCATCCGATGTAGAGAATTGTCCCGGGGCCCGGCCTCGCTCTCGCCGGCCCTGATAGTTTATTTACATCAGAAAGAAATATATTATTAACCCATACCAAATTAACCACACTCTTGTCCAGTTTGCTTTAATTTTAAAACAAGATTTAGCATTGAATCAGAACTATTACATTTTATCTGCATAGTATCCCCCTAGATATTACTTTAGCTACAACTGGTATATATACCTAAATCAATTCTAAACTGATAACATTTCGATGTCAGACCACCACTGGTTAACATTCAAAATAAACTTGATGTTGCCGACCTCTACGTTATCTCGAAACCCTAGGAAGACGGACAGGGCATCCTATGCTCACCTTCTCTAAGAGGCTTTGAGAGAGGTAGAGGCCGAAACACCAAACAATAACAAATTCAAGGAAAGATGTAATGAAACAAGAAGCTGCAGCCTTGCCAGGGAGCTTTAAAGTTATCCTGACAACACTATAGCAAACAATTACTTGACTATGACTAGACATAACCTGCTCCTGATCACAGGCATTCTGACCGGACATTGCCAACTACGGAAGAATCTCCATATCATGGGGCTGTCGGAATCTGCACTCTGCAGGGGATGCGAACAAGAAGATAAGACCATCGAGCATATCCTCTACGATTGCCCGACGTTCTCATTTATTAGAAATGGCTAACACCGGCCGATATAAGAGAAGCACCTCTTGGCGACGTTGTCAACTACATTAAATCTGTAGGCTGGCCCTACTTAGAAGGATGCACAATGGGCCTAGTGAGGCCTAAGTTCAATGGGTTAACCCACCCTCCACACGTTACAGATACATATACAGATCCCCTAGAATGAAAAGCTTCCTACGCCCCTGAGTAATTTAAATATAAAACAGTTTGAAATAGTTTAACTATCTTAACATGGAAAATATTATTATGTAACCTCTTACTTACTTGTTCCATTCATTAATAGGCACTTCAGTCTTCTACTCCTCTGAAATAATGTTTTCAATGTGGACCCAGTTACTTTATTGCAGTAGTTTACTGCTAAACATTCTAACTGTAAAAGATAAATCATTCGTAAGATTGAATCAATCAATACAGAATTCATAAATCCACTATATGTATATGCGGATTGGCCACAAAAAAAGTAATCCAACCACATCTAAGGATCCATTTATTAGTGACGAATATAGAAACTATAGAATATAGTTTCTAACGATTTGATCATTATTTATTTAATCATGAAAATGTTTCTCTACATTCAACGACTACGCATGGTTTCTAAGATTGAGATACATCTTGCAAGGTAGTTACGTAAAATTAAATTTAATAGTTTTAATAATAATTAATTCGTGACAATTTTCCTTAATTTTGACTCACTAATTCTCCGAGATTCCTTTTATTTAATTTCTTATGCTCAGTTGTGATATATTTCATATATATGAAATATCTATTAAATATTCATGAAATATTCATGAAATATTCATGAAATATTCATGAAATATCTATGAAATATTTATAAAATATCTATGAAATATCTATTAAATATCTATGAAATATCTATGAAATATCTATGAAATATCTATGCAATATCTATGAAATGTCTAGGAAATTTCTATGAAATGTCTATGAAATGTCTATGAAATGTCTATGAAATGTCTATGAAATGCCTATGAAATGTCTATGAAATGTCTATGAAATGTCTATGAAATGTCTATGAAATGTCTATGAAATATCTATGAAATGTCTATGAAATGTCTATGAAATGTCTATGAAATGTCTATGAAATGTCTTTGAAATGTCTATGAAATGTCTATGAAATGTCTATGAAATGTCTATGAAATGTCTATGAAATGTCTATGAAATGTCTATGAAATGTCTATGAAATGTCTATGAAATGTCTATGAAATGTCTATGAAATGTCTATGAAATGTCTATGAAATGTCTATGAAATGTCTATGAAATGTCTATGAAATGTCTATGAAATGTCTATGAAATGTCTATGAAATGTCTATGAAATGTCTATGAAATGTCTATGAAATGTCTATGAAATATCTATGAAATGTCTATGAAATGTCTATGAAATGTCTATGAAATGACTGAAATGTATATGAAATGCTTATGAAATTTGTTAGAAATGTCTATGAAATTTGTATGAAATGTCTATGAAATGTCTATGAAATGTCTATGAAATATCTATGAAATTTCTATGAAATTTCTATGAAGTGTCTATGAAATATCTATGAAATATCTATGAAATGTCTATGAAATGTCTATGAAATTTCTATGAAATTTCTATGAAATGTGTATGAAATGTCTATGAAATGTTTATAAAATGTCTATGAAATGTCTATGAAATGTCTATGAAATGTCTGTGAAATGTCTATGAAATGTCTATGAAATGTCTATGAAATATATATGCAATATCAATGCAATATATATAAAATATTTATGCAATATCTATGAAATATTTTGGAAATATCTTGGAAATATCTTGGAAATATCTTGGAAATATCTTGGAAATATCTTGGAAATATCTTGGAAATATCTTGGAAATATCTTGGAAATATCTTGGAAATATCTTGGAAATATCTTGGAAATATCTTGGAAATATCTTGGAAATATCTTGGAAATATCTTGGAAATATCTTGGAAATATCTTGGAAATATCTTGGAAATATCTTGGAAATATCTTGGAAATATCTTGGAAATATCTTGGAAATATCTTGGAAATATCTTGGAAATATCTTGGAAATATCTTGGAAATATCTTGGAAATATCTTGGAAATATCTTGGAAATATCTTGGAAATATCTTGGAAATATCTTGGAAATATCTTGGAAATATCTTGGAAATATCTTGGAAATATCTTGGAAATATCTTGGAAATATCTTGGAAATATCTTGGAAATATCTTGGAAATATCTTGGAAATATCTTGGAAATATCTTGGAAATATCTTGGAAATATCTTGGAAATATCTTGGAAATATCTTGGAAATATCTTGGAAATATCTTGGAAATATCTTGGAAATATCTTGGAAATATCTTGGAAATATCTTGGAAATATCTTGGAAATATCTTGGAAATATCTTGGAAATATCTTGGAAATATCTTGGAAATATCTTGGAAATATCTTGGAAATATCTTGGAAATATCTTGGAAATATCTTGGAAATATCTTGGAAATATCTTGGAAATATCTTGGAAATATCTTGGAAATATCTTGGAAATATCTTGGAAATATCTTGAAAATATCTTGGAAATATCTTGGAAATATCTTGGAAATATCTTGGAAATATCTTGGAAATATCTTGGAAATATCTTGGAAATATCTTGGAAATATCTTGGAAATATCTTGGAAATATCTTGGAAATATCTTGGAAATATCTTGGAAATATCTTGGAAATATCTTGGAAATATCTTGGAAATATCTTGGAAATATCTTGGAAATATCTTGGAAATATCTTGGAAATATCTTGGAAATATCTTGGAAATATCTTGGAAATATCTTGGAAATATCTTGGAAATATCTTGGAAATATCTTGGAAATATCTTGGAAATATCTTGGAAATATCTTGGAAATATCTTGGAAATATCTTGGAAATATCTTGGAAATATCTTGGAAATATCTTGGAAATATCTTGGAAATATATTGGAAATATATTGGAAATATCTTGGAAATATCTTGGAAATATCTTGGAAATATCTTGGAAATATCTTGGAAATATCTTGGAAATATCTTGGAAATATCTTGGAAATATCTTGGAAATATCTTGGAAATATCTTGGAAATATCTTGGAAATATCTTGGAAATATCTTGGAAATATCTTGGAAATATCTTGGAAATATCTTGGAAATATCTTGGAAATATCTTGGAAATATCTTGGAAATATCTTGGAAATATCTTGGAAATATCTTGGAAATATCTTGGAAATATCTTGGAAATATCTTGGAAATATCTTGGAAATATCTTGGAAATATCTTGGAAATATCTTGGAAATATCTTGGAAATATCTTGGAAATATCTCGGAAATATCTTGGAAATATCTTGGAAATATCTTGGAAATATCTTGGAAATATCTTGGAAATATCTTGGAAATATCTTGGAAATATCTTGGAAATATCTTGGAAATATCTTGGAAATATCTTGGAAATATCTTGGAAATATCTTGGAAATATCTTGGAAATATTTTGGAAATATCTTGGAAATATCTTGGAAATATCTTGGAAATATCTTGGAAATATCTTGGAAATATCTTGGAAATATCTTGGAAATATCTTGGAAATATCTTGGAAATATCTTGGAAATATCTTGGAAATATCTTGGAAATATCTTGGAAATATCTTGGAAATATCTTGGAAATATCTTGGAAATATCTTAGAAATATCTTGGAAATACCTTGGAAATATCTTGGAAATATCTTGGAAATATCTTGGAAATATCTTGGAAATATCTTGGAAATATCTTGGAAATATCTTGGAAATATCTTGGAAATATCTGGATCAAGCACGTCAAAAAATGTTCGATGAGGGATCCAGCAATTTCAAATAATATCTTTAATGTTATTGAGAAACACTTTTTCAGCAGACAATATTCCTAATGCACTTAGTCTTACTTCTTTCACTGAGTTGCGTAAAAAAGTTTTTATCCTCTTTGACATAGAGAAGCATCTTCTAGCTTCGGATGTTGACATAGGTGTTGTCACTAAAACTGCCAGTAGCTTAATAGTTTCTTGAAAAGTGTACCTCATATCTTCCTGTGAAACTAATGATAAAAGAGGAACGGCTTCAAAAGTGGTTTGCAAAAAAAAAGTACTTGCAATTCTGTTTTTAGACGACTTTTTCTTGGCTGTATCAGAGAGCAATGTGTCAGGAAAGTTTTTTGGTATTCGATAAAATGTTATTTCATTAATAATGCAGTAATAGTAATGCTCCGTCATAACTTTGTGCGATTAACTTTGTTAAATATCTTGGAAATATCTTGGAAATATCTTGGAAATATCTTGGAAATATCTTGGAAATATCTTGGAAATATCTTGGAAATATCTTGGAAATATCTTGGAAATATCTTGGAAATATCTTGGAAATATCTTGGAAATATCTTGGAAATATCTTGGAAATATCTTGGAAATATCTTGGAAATATCTTGGAAATATCTTGGAAATATCTTGGAAATATCTTGGAAATATCTTGGAAATATCTTGGAAATATCTTGGAAATATCTTGGAAATATCTTGGAAATATCTTGGAAATATCTTGGAAATATCTTGGAAATATCTTGGAAATATCTTGGAAATATCTTGGAAATATCTTGGAAATATCTTGGAAATATCTTGGAAATATCTTGGAAATATCTTGGAAATACCTTGGAAATATCTTGGAAATATCTGGATCAAGCACGTCAAAAAATGTTCGATGAGGGATCCAGCAATTTCAAATAATATCTTCAATGTTATTGAGAAACACTTTTTCAGCAGACAATATTCCTAATGCACTTAGTCTTACTTCTTTCACTGAGTTGCGTAAAAAAGTTTTTATCCTCTTTGACATAGAGAAGCATCTTCTAGCTTCGGATGTTGACATAGGTGTTGTCACTAAAACTGCCAGTAGCTTAATAGTTTCTTGAAAAGTGTACCTCATATCTTCCTGTGAAACTAATGATAAAAGAGGAACGGCTTCAAAAGTGGTTTGCAAAAAAAAGTACTTGCAATTCTGTTTTTAGACGATTTTTTCTTGGCTGTATCAGAGAGCAATGTGTCAGGAAAGTTTTTTGGTATTCGATAAAATGTTATTTCATTAATAATGCAGTAATAGTAATGCTCCGTCATAACTTTGTGCGATTAACTTTGTTGTATCACTAATTAAAGGATCAATTTAATTTAAAATGCAATTTGCTATTGAAGTGTCATTGTGTGACAACCATTTTCAATATATTGCTATGCTAGTGATAAATAATTTGTATATGCATCGTTTAGCCATTTGACCCGACAATTCAAATAATTATTTAACCAAAATAAAAAAGGAATATTTGTCGACATATTTTGCACTAGTATCACGGCCCTCTGGCTCCTTAAGGCAAGCCGCCACAGGCTTCAAAAGGAAACCTTTATGCATTAAACTAGTAATGAAAATGTTAAAAATGATTTAAAAAACTTATAGCGTTATAAAAATGAAAATTGTAAATTTATTTAAAACGTAAATCTCTGGCCCTCTCCGCACCCCAAAGGTGAAAAAATGTTTATTTACCTGGATGCAATTTGAACTAAAAGCATCGATATGACTGTCATCTACAAAATTGATTCCATACAAATTGATAACTCTTAAATTTGGAGTGGCAGATTTTAATTTATGTACATTAATGACTTCATAAATTTCCTCTTCTTCCTCCTCTATTTTTTCGTATGTACCAATTAAATGAAGAATTTCTAAACCATTTATAAAATTGTAAATTTTTCTCATGAAACCCTCCATAAAGATGACTTCAGATAGACAAATGCAAAGGTATTTGAGTTTGGTAGGAAAAGCTTGAAGTTCACTAAAAAGTATTCGTACTTTACAGCGATAATTTTCTATAGAGTTACTAATCAGTAGTCAAAATTACCTACCTAAAATCGTGCAATTGCATAGCAGTGGAAAAATCCAAAAGCATGTGGGTCAAATTTGGACACTTGTTCGCCAGTTCGTGTAATACAGTGTGGGTAATTAATTCTATAGGAAGCTCAATGTATCTTAAAGATGGTCCAAATCTTATACTGATGAGTGCAAGTAGCGATTCTAGGGACCCTACGTGTAGCCCTGAAATTAAATTTAATTATTAGACAATTCGCTATTTATTATAAGTATAATGGGCCATGTTCAGATGTGAGATATGCTGTTTTAGAAACTATATTGTAATAGTTTTTTTTAGTTTACACCTTTTAGACCTCCCGTGCTACACCCTAATCCGTCTGTAGTCTGGCAGCAGTGCAGCCTGCGGCTTATTGTACCACCATTTGAAGGTCCTACTACTTTCCCATTCAGACCCTCAGTCATTCTCATTTATTCCACGTCGTCGATGGTTAAACGCTAGTCGGATAAATCCCATGGTGACACAGCCCATGGTGGAACCTCCCAGCGGTCACCCATCCAAGACGTGACCGGAGAGATCACTGCTTAACTGATGCGAGTAAGTGGATGCACACTAAGCTCGCGGCTAGCCTCTCTAGCTATTGTAATAGTTAGTCACTATACAAGTTATTCTAAATATTCAGTTTGATAAAAAAGCCAAAAGTTTTTAAAGTAAAACCATTTATAATTTAAAATGTGTACGTCATCTTGTGTCGAAGTTTTGTTTGTCATACAGAACCAAGCCAACGAACAAACCAACAAGTGAACGCAAATCTTAGGGACACTACCTAACCTAACATTCGTTGTTGCTGTTGTTGATTGTTTACTTTTTTCTTGATTATCGATTTATTTTTTTGTCTGCTAATTGGTTTAATTTTATTATTAATATGAGTTTGTCAGCTTGATTTATAAAAGTTGATTGTAAACCAATATATGATTACTGTATTTGTTTAACAATACTCAGTTTATAAGTAAAGTGCCGAAGTTAAGAATGTTAAGACAGAAAGGTATGTAACACTTTATTTCTTTGTTTTAATAGTATGTACATTTTATATGGGGCAATACACCTTATAGTAAAACCATATTTATCTCAGGTCATTAGGGTTATTGAATACTTGAATAGTAATTTTTTTTCAAAAATAAACATTTTACCTTTACCCTGTTATTATATTTTAGGATGATCTCATTTATATCTATAAGAAAAAATATTTTTCTTACAATACATATATTAGCGTACACTGACATCCACAAATATAACACTAGAAACTGGGATAATATATCTGTAGGTACCTTGAAGCAACAAGGGCCATTCTCTAAGAGCGAGAGAGCGACGTTTAAAGTTGTAGGTATGTACTGTTGTAGAAGTAAAAGTATAATTATTATGTAATACCCGAGAAATAGCAAATTTGTTATTGTATAAACCGAATTAATACATTTTAGAAAATTATCTCATACTTGTAATTTTTAAGGACTTTGGCTCTTGGCGGTTTTTCCACAAATGTAGATTAGCAGAAACACGGGATCCTTATAAACTCTTAAACTTTAGAATGCCTACCTCAAAAATTAAAACTAAATAACATCTAAAACTATTTAGAAGGATAGTGCACAAGTATTTACTGTAGTACTGTTTTTATTTGGCCTGGGATTATCTACTTGCTAAAGTCATTGTAAATAAATGTTTCTGTTACAACTGTTGTACACATGTCTAGTATTTACATGAATATAAATTACGATAATATTGCTAAATTGAAATAATAAAAACACAAATATGTATCTTATGAAATAATTTGGAACAAAAGAAATAAAAATTGAAGAAAATAGTAAACCATAAAAATGTACTCTTAAAAATACTACAAAAATCATCACTTCATTAAATAATATTTTATTATTTTTAGATCTGCTAAGCAAGTATATGGAGATAATGCGATTTTTCATGAATAACTTGAGAGGAGATATTTGCACAGTAAACGGAATAATTACATCTGAACATAAAGTATTTTGGATTGCTTCTCCCGCATTTGAAGTATATGATGTGATAGAAATAACAGAAGTTGAATTTGATAATGAATCTTTAGAGGAAATTTTAATTGGTGCAACTTCATTTTTAAATGTTTAATTGCAAGTTATTGTTCCCAGACAGCACAAAGATATCTTTAAATGCCTCTATACCTATAACGATCCTTCCAATCCTATTGTCACTAAACAAATATCACCCTATATATAAAATACACATTTTCTATTTTTATATACATTCGTTAAATTAAATAATTCAGTATAATATTTTGATAAACATTAGATGCAATTCATAAGTACGTCCTTGATAATAGTAAATATAACATAACGTACTGACCTTAATCGAATAATATAAAAATCGGCTGGGTAAACAATAATGACACTTTCTGTCGGAGTCTCATCGTAGACTCTTGGTCGCAGTCTCACCCTAGTCTCTTTGCCGGAGTCTCATCTGGTACTTTTAGTTTGAGTCTCATCATCGTCTCGCATCCCAATAGAAGAAGTGACGTGACGTGCCCTCATCGCCTTTAGATGTTTAGACCTTTTTATTATTGTAACATTTTGGATCTTTTATTTATGTTCAATAAATTGTTGTTCTCCTCTTTTATTTCCCCAAATCAGGTAGTCACTATATAAAGTGACTCCATCACTACCGAAAAGCCCGTGACATATGCTGGAGGCGCCGCCGTTTGGCAACTGATTTCCGAAGGGTAATTCTTCCTAATTGCCCTTAATGTACAAAAAATAGTTTTAATTTAAATAACTACCTTACTTGGCGAAATAAAAAATATTATTCAAAGGCGAACAAGGTGAATCAGGGAATTTTGTTTTTTTTTTGTTTGTATCCAGCAATAGGCCTTGCTGGGTTGAGTTAGTCGCAAGTGATTGTTCTAAGTGTTGGTTGGGGACTTGTCACCTGGTGTCAACCTCGAGTCAAGATCGCCAATCGCATCTAATATCTTTACCTACTTGGTGTACACCTCTAAGGGAAGATATTAGTAAAACAATCAGTGGGGAACTTATCACCTGGTGTCAACCTTGAGTCAAGTTCGCCAATCGCACTGAATATCTGTATCTACTTGGTGGATAACCTCTAAGGGAAGATATCTGGGGAAGATAACTCAACCAAAACTTAATATCTTGCTGGGTGCAAAAGAGCGGCGAGGGGATAAAACCTAACAACAGGAACGGATGTCTCCGTAGTGTAGGTTGGGAAGAAGTGAGAAACTTCTACGATGGTTCGGTCCATATTATATAGAAGAGAAATACGGAGAGGGAAACAGTTTTTTGTGGAGAATAATAGTGTTTTTCGAAGAAACTCCAAATTTTAAAATAGAGGTAACTTATGGCGCCTTCTGAAGTGTATAAAGCTACAATCCCCAAATTAATTGAATTTTCCCTTTTCTGTTTAGCGTTTTATTGTTTTCATTAGATATTTAATAATACAAATATTACAAAACTGGATCTCAGCCAGAAGACAGCAGTCATCCTCACTCGAACATACAGAAGTTCCGCCCAGAGAAGACCACAGTGACCCCCCAAGCAATTTAAAATAGACGTCTCATATTATATGTAGAGAATCGAAATCTGCAAGAGTTAGCTACAGAACAGATCATGTCTTCTTACAGCGGTATAAAAATGAAAAAGGCAAGTAAATAGTCATGTGTGTGTTGTGAGAATGTTGAAGTAAAGAATTGTAGGTATTAGAATAAAATGAGTAAACTGTGTGAGAAAAAGTGAATACACAAAGAATATGTTTCTAGAACAAAAAATGAAAAGATATATAAATGTTTAATGAGTTGTAAAACAAAGTGTACGAGTAGAGACACATGTGTGATGCTTATTGTTATTTTTGCAAAGTGATTGTTATATATAAATAAATAATATAGAGACAAATAAGGGCTCGCGACATTAGTCCAATTAAATAACGAAAAAAAGCCCCTTCGAGCTTACATTAATTTGTAATTGGATGAAACAAAGTGGACATTGTGTATTTTGATGTGATCTTTCCGAAAAAAAGAAAAAAATGATGTAGCTGTTTTTCAATTTTTTTTAAATTAGGAAAAACCGGGTTTTCCGGAATTTTCCATGGTAAAAATGCTAATTATCTGGGCAAGTATCATTCTGATAGTAAAAATAAAAGCACTTATCGAAAGAGGAGGCAAAAATAGTTCGGAATTTCATTGCACAGGTAGTTTTAATGGCGAATTTCTCGCCGCCAGAAGTGCTTTTACCAAAAAGTTGTTTTTTCGTTTCTTTGATCAGAATCATGAACATGAAATTTGCGATGAATTTGTGGCGAAATTATAAATGTTAGATATATGTGCCCATGAGAGAAGTTGCGTATTTTTTTGTGGGCTCTCAAATAAAATAAGTCCCGCGGCGAAATCTGCCATAATTTTTCGGGAATTCGCAGGAAACCGGAAGGCGTTAATTTTTTTTAATTTTTTTCCCATATGATTTTCTCCGTGTTTTCCGAAAACATCTAACAAAAAATATATTTGAAGAAACTAACTGGCTATCGGAAAGAGCACAAAAAAATATACAAAAAGGTATACTTTAAAAATGTTAGGAAATTAATCCTAAGCTTGAGTGTAAGTTCCAACTTGGTGATAAGCTTTTTTTTTTGTTCTCTAACATCTGGTTTTCTTCTCGGTTGATGCTCCATCCTCCTTTTTTTTGGCATTGTCAATCGCGGCCCTTTTATGCCTATCCCAGGTTTTATAAATAAACTCTTTTCCGAAAGTCGAGCTACGTAATGTTTGCGACACCTCTCATGCAATATAAAACCTGGTTCTAAAGAACTGAAAAAATCATCCCCTCTCTCTTTGCTGACCATCTGAAGACCTTTTAATCCTGTCGGTCTAATTGGGGTAAGTTCACCCTCTGCAAGTTTCTGATGACATAATAAACACAGGCCAGCCATTGCAACCTCGAAACAAAAAAATTATAACACTGTGATAGAATTTTCTTAATTTAAGAACGTACTTACTCAATAAATTGCTGAAGAAGTCCGAACGAAAAACCAAGTGTACACAGAGCTTGCTGAACACGGTTATTAAAAATCTATGCCGATGAACACTATCAAACGATTCAATTTGTAATAATATGACGGTTTCAAATTTAAACTTGTCGGATAGCGAACGCCGAGACAATGGCAATCCTTGATACGACGT